TAGGGTCTTCATAAGTGTCACTGAGACCTTTTCAGAAAGTCAAAAAAAATATTTATAAGTACCAAGTACCTCATATTTTGAATTTTTAATTCTAAGTCCGATCATAAAAATCGACATATATCGTCAGGTACCAAAAAATATAAGACTTGGAATTCATTGTAAAAAATGTGAAAACGTAGGGTCTTCATAAGTGTCACTGAGACCTTTTCAGAAAGTCAAAAAAAATATTTATAAGTACCAAGTACCTCATATTTTGAATTTTTAATTCTAAGTCCGATCATAAAAATCGACATATATCGTCAGGTACCAAAAAATATACGACTTGGAATTCATTGTAAAAAATGTGAAAACGTAGGGTCTTCATAAGTGTCACTGAGACCTTTTCAGAAAGTCAAAAAAAATATTTATAAGTACCAAGTACCTCATATTTTGAATTTTTAATTCTAAGTCCGATCATAAAAATCGACATATATCGTCAGGTACCAATAAATATACGACTTGGAATTCATTGAAAAAAATGTGAAAACGTAGGGTCTTCATAAGTGTCACTGAGACCTTTTCAGAAAGTCAAAAAAAATATTTATAAGTACCAAGTACCTCATATTTTGAATTTTTAATTCTAAGTCCGATCATAAAAATCGACATATATCGTCAGGTACCAATAAATATACGACTTGGAATTCATTGAAAAAAATGTGAATACGTAGGGTCTTCATAAATGTCACTGAGACCTTTTCAGAAAGTCAAAAAAAATATTTATAAGTACCAAGTACCTCATATTTTGAATTTTTAATTCTAAGTCCGATCATAAAAATCGACATATATCGTCAGGTACCAATAAATATACGACTTGGAATTCATTGAAAAAAATGTGAAAACGTAGGGTCTTCATAAGTGTCACTGAGACCTTTTCAGAAAGTCAAAAAAAATATTTATAAGTATAAGTACCTCATATTTTGAATTTTTAATTCTAAGTCCGATCATAAAAATCGACATATATCGTCAGGTACCAATAAATATACGACTTGGAATTCATTGAAAAAAATGTGAAAACGTAGGGTCTTCATAAGTGTCACTGAGACCTTTTCAGAAAGTCAAAAAAAATATTTATAAGTATAAGTACCTCATATTTTGAATTTTTAATTCTAAGTCCGATCATAAAAATCGACATATATCGTCAGGTACCAATAAATATACGACTTGGAATTCATTGAAAAAAATGTGAAAACGTAGGGTCTTCATAAGTGTCACTGAGACCTTTTCAGAAAGTCAAAAAAAATATTTATAAGTATAAGTACCTCATATTTTGAATTTTTAATTCTAAGTCCGATCATAAAAATCGACATATATCGTCAGGTACCAAAAAATATAAGACTTGGAATTCATTGTAAAAAATGTGAAAACGTAGGGTCTTCATAAGTGTCACTGAGACCTTTTCAGAAAGTCAAAAAAAATATTTATAAGTACCAAGTACCTCATATTTTGAATTTTTAATTCTAAGTCCGATCATAAAAATCGACATATATCGTCAGGTACCAATAAATATACGTCTTGGAATTCATTGAAAAAAAATGTGAAAACGTAGGGTCTTCATAAGTGTCACTGAGACCTTTTCAGAAAGTCAAAAAAAATATTTATAAGTACCAAGTACCTCATATTTTGAATTTTTAATTCTAAGTCCGATCATAAAAATCGACATATATCGTCAGGTACCAAAAAATATAAGACTTGGAATTCATTGTAAAAAATGTGAAAACGTAGGGTCTTCATAAGTGTCACTGAGACCTTTTCAGAAAGTCAAAAAAAATATTTATAAGTACCAAGTACCTCATATTTTGAATTTTTAATTCTAAGTCCGATCATAAAAATCGACATATATCGTCAGGTACCAAAAAATATACGACTTGGAATTCATTGTAAAAAATGTGAAAACGTAGGGTCTTCATAAGTGTCACTGAGACCTTTTCAGAAAGTCAAAAAAAATATTTATAAGTACCAAGTACCTCATATTTTGAATTTTTAATTCTAAGTCCGATCATAAAAATCGACATATATCGTCAGGTACCAATAAATATACGACTTGGAATTCATTGAAAAAAATGTGAAAACGTAGGGTCTTCATAAGTGTCACTGAGACCTTTTCAGAAAGTCAAAAAAAATATTTATAAGTACCAAGTACCTCATATTTTGAATTTTTAATTCTAAGTCCGATCATAAAAATCGACATATATCGTCAGGTACCAATAAATATACGACTTGGAATTCATTGAAAAAAATGTGAATACGTAGGGTCTTCATAAATGTCACTGAGACCTTTTCAGAAAGTCAAAAAAAATATTTATAAGTACCAAGTACCTCATATTTTGAATTTTTAATTCTAAGTCCGATCATAAAAATCGACATATATCGTCAGGTACCAAAAAATATACGACTTGGAATTCATTGTAAAAAATGTGAAAACGTAGGGTCTTCATAAGTGTCACTGAGACCTTTTCAGAAAGTCAAAAAAAATATTTATAAGTACCAAGTACCTCATATTTTGAATTTTTAATTCTAAGTCCGATCATAAAAATCGACATATATCGTCAGGTACCAATAAATATACGACTTGGAATTCATTGAAAAAAATGTGAAAACGTAGGGTCTTCATAAGTGTCACTGAGACCTTTTCAGAAAGTCAAAAAAAATATTTATAAGTACCAAGTACCTCATATTTTGAATTTTTAATTCTAAGTCCGATCATAAAAATCGACATATATCGTCAGGTACCAATAAATATACGACTTGGAATTCATTGAAAAAAATGTGAATACGTAGGGTCTTCATAAATGTCACTGAGACCTTTTCAGAAAGTCAAAAAAAATATTTATAAGTACCAAGTACCTCATATTTTGAATTTTTAATTCTAAGTCCGATCATAAAAATCGACATATATCGTCAGGTACCAATAAACATACGACTTGGAATTCATTGAAAAAAATGTGAAAACGTAGGGTCTTCATAAGTGTCACTGAGACCTTTTCAGAAAGTCAAAAAAAATATTTATAAGTATAAGTACCTCATATTTTGAATTTTTAATTCTAAGTCCGATCATAAAAATCGACATATATCGTCAGGTACCAATAAATATACGACTTGGAATTCATTGAAAAAAATGTGAAAACGTAGGGTCTTCATAAGTGTCACTGAGACCTTTTCAGAAAGTCAAAAAAAATATTTATAAGTATAAGTACCTCATATTTTGAATTTTTAATTCTAAGTCCGATCATAAAAATCGACATATATCGTCAGGTACCAAAAAATATAAGACTTGGAATTCATTGTAAAAAATGTGAAAACGTAGGGTCTTCATAAGTGTCACTGAGACCTTTTCAGAAAGTCAAAAAAAATATTTATAAGTACCAAGTACCTCATATTTTGAATTTTTAATTCTAAGTCCGATCATAAAAATCGACATATATCGTCAGGTACCAAAAAATATAAGACTTGGAATTCATTGTAAAAAATGTGAAAACGTAGGGTCTTCATAAGTGTCACTGAGACCTTTTCAGAAAGTCAAAAAAAATATTTATAAGTACCAAGTACCTCATATTTTGAATTTTTAATTCTAAGTCCGATCATAAAAATCGACATATATCGTCAGGTACCAAAAAATATAAGACTTGGAATTCATTGTAAAAAATGTGAAAACGTAGGGTCTTCATAAGTGTCACTGAGACCTTTTCAGAAAGTCAAAAAAAATATTTATAAGTACCAAGTACCTCATATTTTGAATTTTTAATTCTAAGTCCGATCATAAAAATCGACATATATCGTCAGGTACCAATAAATATACGTCTTGGAATTCATTGAAAAAAAATGTGAAAACGTAGGGTCTTCATAAGTGTCACTGAGACCTTTTCAGAAAGTCAAAAAAAATATTTATAAGTACCAAGTACCTCATATTTTGAATTTTTAATTCTAAGTCCGATCATAAAAATCGACATATATCGTCAGGTACCAAAAAATATAAGACTTGGAATTCATTGTAAAAAATGTGAAAACGTAGGGTCTTCATAAGTGTCACTGAGACCTTTTCAGAAAGTCAAAAAAAATATTTATAAGTACCAAGTACCTCATATTTTGAATTTTTAATTCTAAGTCCGATCATAAAAATCGACATATATCGTCAGGTACCAAAAAATATACGACTTGGAATTCATTGTAAAAAATGTGAAAACGTAGGGTCTTCATAAGTGTCACTGAGACCTTTTCAGAAAGTCAAAAAAAATATTTATAAGTACCAAGTACCTCATATTTTGAATTTTTAATTCTAAGTCCGATCATAAAAATCGACATATATCGTCAGGTACCAATAAATATACGACTTGGAATTCATTGAAAAAAATGTGAAAACGTAGGGTCTTCATAAGTGTCACTGAGACCTTTTCAGAAAGTCAAAAAAAATATTTATAAGTACCAAGTACCTCATATTTTGAATTTTTAATTCTAAGTCCGATCATAAAAATCGACATATATCGTCAGGTACCAATAAATATACGACTTGGAATTCATTGAAAAAAATGTGAATACGTAGGGTCTTCATAAATGTCACTGAGACCTTTTCAGAAAGTCAAAAAAAATATTTATAAGTACCAAGTACCTCATATTTTGAATTTTTAATTCTAAGTCCGATCATAAAAATCGACATATATCGTCAGGTACCAAAAAATATACGACTTGGAATTCATTGTAAAAAATGTGAAAACGTAGGGTCTGAAAACGTAGGAAAACGTGGAGGTGGTGCGCATGCGCCAGACGGACAAGTAACCTCTTCTGTTGTTCCGACTTTTGAGCGTCCTGGCGAGGCCTGGGCAGTGAGTGGACTTCTCTTGTGTGTTCGGTCGGGTTGCGAATTCCCAAAATCCAGTCTCGTTGGGCACCAGGGCACCGCCCATCAGCTTTGCCGCCGCGCTTTCAAAATTTTCGCCTCGATCTCGCTCACCTCAATCACCATGTGAGTCAAGCTCACTACTTTTGCAGCAGTAATACTTGATTTTCCTTCATAATAATCACAATTTCTGGCTTTCATAAGAAATGATATGTTATATAAATATGTATTAGTGAAACAATTTTATCCTAGTTCTTTAAAAGGATTTTGATGTGATTCAAGTAGTCACGCGTCACGCTGAACTTGAGTGTGGTGGGTGTGTACTTTGTTTGGAGTTGGTAAATGGAGTAAATATATAATTGTTATGTTGTGACTTTTTAGAATTTATTTTCAAGTGATTTAACTATAGGTAGTGCAAATTTCACGTGTTTTAATTACGTTGTTAGTTGTGATAATGTGTAATTTCAGTTATTTCGAGAACGGAGACCTCACAAGTGAAGTTTGTAGATTTATTTTGTGAAAAGAAGACGTTTTGATTGAGAATTTAAAATCACCAACACAGTAAAAAAGTAAGCACTGTTCTTAATTATACATTATTTATTGTGCATCCTTTAAAACTAAATTCAAGGAATAATTATATTTAAACATATTTAATACAAAAGGAGCACATTAAAATAAAAGAAAAATACTCGTCAAATTTTATTTTTTTTATTTATACTTCATATTTATCTTATTGATAATCAGGAAATGAGCACATAGGAATAACATCAAGTGATGCATATGACTATTTAATGCGATTTTGCATTAGCACAGTTGTCCTTGACAGCCTGACTGAGATCTCTTTTTCTTTTTTTAGGACCATTGTTATCCGACTGAGACTTCGGAGGTCGACCACTTGCGATTTGAGCTGCTCCCTTGGATACTCCTACTCGACGCCTTGCTCGACCAGATGGATTAACACCAGTGCGACCCTTCTTGGACAGCACAGAGTTGACAGCTCTGTAAAAAGCCACCAAAGCAGCTTGAGCAGCTGGAGTAGTTTTTGGCTTTCGGAGTGCCTTTCCCATCTTTTCAACAAGTTCAGGTGAAATATTAACCAAAGCTAAGTCGAGGAAGTCGCTGAAATCGTTCTCCAGCTGCTTCCTCTTTTCGGCCCTGTCGGCTTCATCAAAGACATTTTCATCTGTCTCTGTAGCAACTTCCATCTCATTATTGTAAAAAAACTCATCTTCATTGTCACCAGATGCTTCGTCATGGCTATTGCATTGATTTCCTAAAATAATTTCATAATTTTAACAAAAAAAATTATACATTCATGCTGCACAAGTTTTAAATCACATTTTAATTATAGTTAATTATGAGATGTAAAATTTTAATTTTATTTTATTAACCTTTTTGTGGAGAGCTAGTAGGTGACGCAACCTCAGTTCGCCCTAAGTAGAAGCTAGTCGGCAGGGTTTTGTCGCCAAGGGCCACTTTGGCTAGAAGTTTTCGGTCAGAACTGAGGAGTGGTGGAGCTGAGGGAATTGCTGCCTTTTTATACTTCACAAGCAAAGCCATATGCTTACAAAAAGCTCCCCTCTCCCCAGATTTGCAGGAGCAAAATCCACTGTCTGTTCTGACTTCATAAAACGTCTCTGGAAATTTCACATTCATTCAATTAAATCAAATCAAATATGTATGCTATGAAATCAAATAAATTTTAGTGTCATGAATTATGTATATGGAAATTAGGGCCTTATAGAATTAAACTGAAGATTATTTTCTAATTAATTATAATTTAAAATCAATATTTTTATTACCAGCTGAGATTGAACTTGGCACGCTGTAAAGGTTTTCGTCAATTTTGATGATCTTGTTGGGGTCAATGGACGAAGCTCGCTTAAGCATCTTGTCGAAAACCAGTGAATGTGCCGAATGTCGGTTGTGTGCATGGTCAAGCAATCGTCTCTTGTAATAGTCATCCATCGGTCCGATAACAAACTCGATCAGAGCCACAGGGTTATAAGCCTATTTTTTATTTACAATTTTATGTAACAATTTATCTGAAAATATTTCTTTCTTTCTTACTTTCATTCTTTGCATGACAGCCTCTTTAGCAATTTTAATACTAGTCTCAGCAAAGTTGTTGGTATCATTGCCTCTATTCATAGCACCAACTCGTGCATAGATAGCCCACTCTTCCACTCGTTTTGCAAACTTTTGAAAGCGTTTCACATACTTAGGATGCGCCTCATTTTGAGCTAAAATGCTCTCCGAAGCACTTTCAAATTCCTCCAATGTGTTAGCATAGACAGCCTATAATATGAATTTCACAAAATTAGATTAATCATTTATATTTTTACTTTCTGCACGTAAATATTAACCTTGTAATATAGATTCATTAATTTCTGCCTATCATTTTTATTGCAGTTGGAAAGGAGCCACTTCCACTCCGCCGAGAGTACGTGAAACACACATAGCAACCTACGTGCTGTTGGCCACACCGACTCAACCGCCTTTCGTTCCGCAGAACTGTCATCTGTCATTACGACACTAGGCGCCTAAAAATGAAGTACATTTTCATTTAGAAATGTATGTTTTTTTTTAATTTTATTATTGGATTATGAAGTAGTCTCTGAGTAAGATTTTTTTAAAACTCTGTTTTAATTTAATAAATATTGGAATTTATTGTTGGTAGGGAATATAAAATGTTTGTGATTAATTGGAGGTTAATGCTAAGGATAATGCTATTCAGTTTTACCTCAGAGCCACCAAATCCTTTTGGACATTCTCTCTTGTACAAGTTAAAGGCCATCTCATAGCAAGTCTGAGTCTGGTGGCTTTGCAGCAAAATGCAGAGTGGCATTGCACCAGCTTTTGTGGCAGAGCACATTGATGTAAAGGTGCAGTGAGTCACATCAACATGTGAGGTTGAATCAAGGAAGAGTGTTTCACCAGAGTGCGGCAGTTCTTGCACCCTTTTCATCAAGGGTGTCACAATGAGGATGCACCACTCGCCATCCTCCATTGAAGTCTTAACAAGAACATCTAAAGTTTTTAAGATTTTAATGTATTGCATTTTAGGAAAAATTCAATTTTCAAACTACCTCTTGAAATGTAATCTCCAGAAGCAATTTTTTCTTGAGTCTTTTCAATTGGTGTTAAAGATTTTACACCAAATTGCTTATTTGACCATTTGTCAAACAAATAGGAGACAGTTCTTTTGGTAGGGTTAATATTAGCATCAGCAAGATTCACAAAATCGTCATTGCTGATAAGTAAGTCTTCGTGACGTTTCCTTGCTTGAGCAGCTGTACTCCCATCGTCAAAATATTTGTCGAACAGAGCGGCAGTCGATGGATCTACTCGATTTAATCGAAGTGTGTCCGCACTTAAGATGTGATGATTGTGCACGCCTTCAAATTTGATCACAGCTTGACGGACAATACCATGCTTGTCAGGTCTGAGATATTTATCCTTTTTTTTGGTGTCTCTTGTAATCTATGTTGTAAAAAGATTGGTCCATTATTGTTTGTTTGTTTGTACTGATACTTTAAATTCTTGAAATTCTTTAATTAATAATAGTTTTCATTAAAAATTATACTTATGGGGTTTAAAACCATAATAATCAATGAAAAATCATTAATTACACCCACCAGCTTGATTTTAATATCCAGTGTCACTTTGCAATTTGTTGTTCGCTTCGAATCAACTTTTTTGTTCAATTTGCTAAGGTGGCAGTGAAACCTTTTATGAGTATGGTACCTATAGAGGGATTGTATTTTTATTTAATTAATTGAGTACTTATTTTAATGAGATATAAAAAAACCTTTCCATTTCTTCGTAACAGTATTCGACGATCCAACAGCTTCTAGAAATTTTTGAAAATTCTTTGACCCACTCGTCAATCTCATCCACTGATGATAAATTGGCCCTCAAAACGGTGGAATTTTCAGAATATTCCACACAGACAGTGTGGAATTCTGTCGGAAAAACATTTTTAACAGGACTTTTCACGGCTGCCATTGTCATTGTTTTTATTTATTATGCACCTAGGCCAAAGTTAATGTGCAACAAATAGTGCATATTCACAACCAATAGAAGTCGATTTATTTTCTGTTTGCCTTTTAACATTTATAATAATTATATATTTACATTAATTGATTGTTAAAAATTATGACAGTGAGAAATTGTGATTATTATGAAGGAAAATCAAGTATTACTGCTGCAAAAGTAGTGAGCTTGACTCACATGGTGATTGAGGTGAGCGAGATCGAGGCGAAAATTTTGAAAGCGCGGCGGCAAAGCTGATGGGCGGTGCCCTGGTGCCCAACGAGACTGGATTTTGGGAATTCGCGGTCGGGTTGCTGAGCGTCCCAAGCCCGTTTGTGGCCTAAAGGCGTGATTTTTACCCCCGTACTCGCCGTGAAATTGGACTTGCCGAAATGCCGGCTTACCGCTCTTATGTTAAGCCGCCACTCGCGGTGAGTCGTCCTTCCGGCGACCTCGCGCGCATCTGTTGGACGCTGACCGAAGTCCTGCGTGAACTTCAGGCCTTTTCATTTCGAGAAGAGTCCCCGGAAGTCAGTCTGATAGCAAAAATGGACCGAGAGTATCAACTTTTCCTTGCCAGAGAAAAGGAGGCGTGGCTCCAGTACAAAACACCACTACGGCCACCGACAACAAAGGTAACAATGTTACCTGGGGCGAACCTTTTCGTCGAATCACCACCCTCGATGTCCATCGGCCACTGCGTTGCCGAAGATTTTGAAATGTCGGCCGGACTGGCAGTTGATTTCCGCGAGTTATTCGGGAATGTGGATTACCTTCTGTCTTTAAACCTTAAAGTCGGACAGGTTGCCGTCCTTCCAGTACAGCAGAACGACGGCACGTTCAGGTACGCTCTCTACATTATCACCAAAGAGAAGTCGAGAGGGACCCGCCCAACTCGTGAAAACTTCGAGGCTGCCATCGTCTCTCTTCGGGAAGTCTGCAAGGCACTCGGAATCAAGAAACTGGGACTGCCGAAAATTGGAGCTGGGCTCGACAAATTGCCCTGGGACTTTTGCCTGGACGTCCTTGAACGGGTTTTTGAAGTGTCGACTACGGAAATTTACATCTTTGAAGGGACAACCGACTTTAAGAAAAGACAGTTCCAAAGAACAACTTGCTCTCCGGCACTTGACAGCGTCGAGGAATTCCCCCTTCTTCCTGAAATCTCCCCAACTGTGAGCAGGCCTTCGGCAGGAGTTGCAGGACAAAATTTGACTGAGAATAAATTGAATGAAAACTTAAATTGCTTCTCTTTTTCAGCTGCGTCGCCGAGCCACTCACAAAGCAAAAAGAAGTCGCCTGCTCGCCGATGGGAGACGGACGTGGAGAAATTTGATGCTCGACAGGTGATGGTGGCGAGGCCCGCAGCTGACCCCGGGCCTGGTGGTGCCCCATTAAAAGCTGCCAAAACTACAGCAGGATCAGGTGGACCAGCTGGGCGCACACCGGAGACCTGTATTAAAGCTGGGGTGCCCTCCCGTGCGTCTGGCCCCACCTCATCATTAGCTGAAAAAGGTGACAAACACAAGTTAAAATATCAGACAACCTACCCTGAGAAGGCCCAACTCTCTGATCCGAAGGCCAAGAAGTCCACCGGCACAATACCGAAGGTGAGAGGGGCACAGACGAACCCAGCAAGGAGCCGACTGAGCCAGGGAAAAACGCAGGAGCGCACCAAGAGGCCTGACAGCGCCCTTAAGTCTGTCAATGCTACAGCCGCCTCACCAAAGGGTGGAGCAGCCGGACGAGGCGCGGACGCCTGCGAGTTGGCTGGGGCAAAAAATCCGTCCTCGTCCAGCTCCACCCCGGCGCCACCAACAACAGGTGAGGCTGTTACTTTGAAACCTCCTAAGGCCTTGGCCAAAGGAGAACTTGCTGCTGGCCCTGAGGAGAAATTCGTTTCCAGTCTCCTGGAACCTGTACCTGTGGCTGTGGCGAAGGACGTCCCCAGGGCTCAAAATCTGACTGAATTCTTTGCTGACCTGACTCGAGGGGCTAATCTTGAGAATCTTCAGGAAGGCTCTGCCGGTGGGGGTAGCCTGCCCCCGCTGCCCCCACCTGGTTTACTCCAAAAACCCCCCCGGCAACCTTCCACTCTTGTGGTAAGTGGTGCCGACGTTTTACTGGTACCTGAAGTCTCAAAAAACCCTTTGCCCGAGTCTGTTAAGCTGCCACCCTCCGAGGCTCCTGACGAGGCCTTGCCGCACATCACGGCCGACCTGGCAGGAGAAAGGCGGAGTGTCGTCGCGCTGGCCGAGCAGTTCCCGGTCGGGCGGGCCGAGGAGCTCTTGGTTGGGCTACGTGGGACCGTTTCCGAGACCAACAGGTGGCCACTGCCGAGAAAGGAGGCTTCTAGCCACCTGAGTACGCAGCCCACCCCATCTCCCAAGATTGCAGCACCATCGCCATCCAAATCCTCGTCGATAAATTATAGGCGAAATTCAAAAAACACAAACCGCAAGTCCATACACAAAGTCGCTTAAAAAACTTAAATATATTAAATTTAAATGTCCGCGGTTTGAAAACACCAGATAAATTTACCGAGTTTGAAAATTTTATTCGAAGCTTGCAAGTACGCCCAGATTTAATAGTAATAACTGAACATTGGCTTGACTCATGTGAAATTAAAACCTTTCATTTGGAGGGTTACGATCTAGTAGCTTACTTTGGCCGAAACATAAAAAAGTTTGAAAGAGGTGGAGTACTTATCTTAAAAAATAAACTTCTGAAAGCTACAGCAAAAAATATAAAAATTTTTTCTAAAGAGATGTTTTTTGAATTCTGTGCAAGCAAATTGATAATGCAGTCCGAAAATATTAATATTATTGGTGTCTATCGGCCAAGTAATCCAAAGTCAAATAGTAAAATTCCAGAATTTCTTGAACATATTGATTCAGTTCTTATGCAAAACAGGTTTTGTGGTCATACAATATTAGCAGGAGACTTTAATATCGATCTGATGGTTAATGACGACAATTGTATAAAACTTAAGGAAATCGTAAAATTACATAACCTAACCTTGCTAAATGAAAATAAAATAACTAGAGTAAATAAGAATGGGGGAACCTTACTAGATCATGTTTATGCAAATTTTAACTTAGAGAGCACATTTAACATAATTCCAGTTTTGTTCTCAGACCACAGTGCTGTGTCAGTATCAGTTAAACTGCCAGTAGAGACAATTAAAGACACTTTCAAATATATAAGAAGTTACACTGAAGATAATTATCTGAATCTTTTCTCCCTCCTTGAACAAGAAAGTTGGGAGCAAGTTTTCCAGGCCAGTTCAATAAATGAAAAAAGTGAAATTTTTATGGGCATTCTCGTAAAATATTTTGAAAACTGTTTCCCCTTAAAACGAGTTATTATCAGGGCAAATCAAATCGGTAAAATTAAATTGACAGATGATACGCGGAAATTACAAAATAAAATTATTAATTTAAGTCAAGAAATAAAATCAAATTTAGATCACATGGTCAAGGCTGAACTGAAGCTAAAACTGAAACACATGAAGAAGGAAGTTGTTAATAAAATTCAAATAGAAACGAAGCAAGTAAATGATAGGAAAATTGCAACATCTAAAAATAAATCCAGTGCAGCGTGGAAACTTATAAACAATAAATTAGGGAAAAGTAAAAATTCAGAGTATATTGACGAATTAAATATAAACGGTGCTAAAGAATCAATTAAACTTAATATCGCCAATTGCCTGAACAATGCATTTGTTGAACCAGAGCCTGACCTAAATAATATAAATTTAGCTGATTGTTCCAAAGTGACTGATAACCTTTGTAATATGGTACAAGAATTACAGCTTTTTGAGGAGTTTGAAATATATAGTATAATAAATCATCTCCCATCTAAAAATTCATCTGGGTGGGATGGAATTTCAACCACTGTACTGAAAAAAATTTCAATGTATATTACTGCGCCTCTTACTTATTTAATAAACGAGTCATTCCTAAAAGGTAGTTTCCCCGATAATATGAAACTTGCTAAAATTATCCCACTGTTTAAAAAGGGCGAAAAAGAAAACCCTTCAAATTATAGACCAATTGCGATAACATCATCAATATCAAAAGTATATGAGAAAGCCTTTTTACATAGATTGGAAAAACACTTGAACACTAATAATATCCAAATACCTGAGCAACATGGATTTAGAAAGGGAAAAAATACTGTAACGGCCTTATATAGTTATGTAACATCTCTGTACGAATCAGTTGAAGCAAAAGAAAAAGTGAATGTTATCTTGTACGATTTCTCTAACGCATTTGGCACCCTTCATCCACCTCTCCTTATACATAAGTTAAAACAATACGGTCTAAACGAGAACTTGCTCTCGTGGTTGGCCTGCTTCTTATCAAATAGGAAACAATTTGTACAGCTTAAGAACCTTGGTTGTGATAGGTACGAGGAGTTTATTAACTCGGATATATTAGAGAGTAACAGGGGTGTGCCGCAAGGCACAGTTCTCGGCCCAATTGGGTTTTCTATGTATTTAAATGATATTCCTCTCGCTGTGTTCTTGGCCCTCCTGATTTTGTTTGCCGACGACTCCACGGCTATAGTCAAGGGAGAGTCTTTTCCTGAGGTAAATACTAAAACGGTGGCTGTAAATGAAAGTTTTGTCGATTTTGCTAATGATAATTTTTTGAGGATAAATTCAGAAAAATCTAAAATACTACAAATACACACCAGCCAAACAAAAAATCTAGTTCAACCTGATGTTAAAATTGAAGATAAGAGTATAGAAATCTGTAAAACTGGTAAACTCTTGGGAGTACAAATTAATGATACACTTAACTGGAATGATCACTGTGATAAGGTTGTCAATAAAATGAGAGGAGTCTCTCATGTGTTCACTAGACTGAAATACAAGGTGTCAGATAACATTCTAAAATTGATCTATTTTTCACACGTTCAGAGTCATATAATGTATGGGATTGTAATTTGGGGGGGTTCTAGTCATTTAATCAAAGTATTTAGAGCACAGAAAAGAGCGTTGAGAGCCATGGCGGGCATTCCCTACTGGCGATCTAATGAAGCGTTGGATACTTGTAAACCAATATTTGTCAAATATAATATAATGACTGTGCCATCGTTGTATATACTCGAATGTATAAAATTCTTAGTGCAAAACCGAAACCTATTTCAGAAATATAGTGATACTGTAGATACGAGGAGAGTGACTAGACATAATCAGACTAATCTTTGCTGTAATGATTTGGTTGTGAAAGAAGTTAAGCTCAAGAAATCTGTAGAAAACCCAGAAATCATGATCCCCAGAATATTTAATGCATTACCGATATCTTTAAAAGTCCTCGAAAATGACGACGTTCTTGTAAAAATGGTGAAAGCTTTTGTGTTAGAGCACAAATTCTATGACTTGAACGAATTTTATCGTTTAAATAATGCCATGTACACTGACTTATTTTAAAAAGCTGTTATTTACTATGTATGTTATGTGGTATATAATGCTTAACAAAATAAAGAAATCTTGAATCTTGAATCTTGAAAATCTTCATAAGTGTCACTGAGACCTTTTCAGAAAGTCAAAAAAAATATTTATAAGTACCAAGTACCTCATATTTTGAATTTTTAATTCTAAGTCCGATCATAAAAATCGACATATATCGTCAGGTACCAATAAATATACGACTTGGAATTCATTGAAAAAAATGTGAAAACGTAGGGTCTTCATAAGTGTCACTGAGACCTTTTCAGAAAGTCAAAAAAAATATTTATAAGTACCAAGTACCTCATATTTTGAATTTTTAATTCTAAGTCCGATCATAAAAATCGACATATATCGTCAGGTACCAATAAATATACGACTTGGAATTCATTGAAAAAAATGTGAATACGTAGGGTCTTCATAAATGTCACTGAGACCTTTTCAGAAAGTCAAAAAAAATATTTATAAGTACCAAGTACCTCATATTTTGAATTTTTAATTCTAAGTCCGATCATAAAAATCGACATATATCGTCAGGTACCAATAAACATACGACTTGGAATTCATTGAAAAAAATGTGAAAACGTAGGGTCTTCATAAGTGTCACTGAGACCTTTTCAGAAAGTCAAAAAAAATATTTATAAGTATAAGTACCTCATATTTTGAATTTTTAATTCTAAGTCCGATCATAAAAATCGACATATATCGTCAGGTACCAATAAATATACGACTTGGAATTCATTGAAAAAAATGTGAAAACGTAGGGTCTTCATAAGTGTCACTGAGACCTTTTCAGAAAGTCAAAAAAAATATTTATAAGTATAAGTACCTCATATTTTGAATTTTTAATTCTAAGTCCGATCATAAAAATCGACATATATCGTCAGGTACCAAAAAATATAAGACTTGGAATTCATTGTAAAAAATGTGAAAACGTAGGGTCTTCATAAGTGTCACTGAGACCTTTTCAGAAAGTCAAAAAAAATATTTATAAGTACCAAGTACCTCATATTTTGAATTTTTAATTCTAAGTCCGATCATAAAAATCGACATATATCGTCAGGTACCAAAAAATATAAGACTTGGAATTCATTGTAAAAAATGTGAAAACGTAGGGTCTTCATAAGTGTCACTGAGACCTTTTCAGAAAGTCAAAAAAAATATTTATAAGTACCAAGTACCTCATATTTTGAATTTTTAATTCTAAGTCCGATCATAAAAATCGACATATATCGTCAGGTACCAATAAATATACGACTTGGAATTCATTGAAAAAAATGTGAATACGTTGGGTCTTCATAAATGTCACTGAGACCTACGTTTTCACATTTTTTTCAATGAATTCCAAGTCGTATATTTATTGGTACCTGACGATATATGTCGATTTTTATGATCGGACTTAGAATTAAAAATTCAAAATATGAGGTACTTGGTACTTATAAATATTTTTTTTGACTTTCTGAAAAGGTCTCAGTGACACTTATGAAGACCCTACGTTTTCACATTTTTTTCAATGAATTCCAAGACGTATATTTATTGGTACCTGACGATATATGTCGATTTTTATGATCGGACTTAGAATTAAAAATTCAAAATATGAGGTACTTGGTACTTATAAATATTTTTTTTGACTTTCTGAAAAGGTCTCAGTGACACTTATGAAGACCCTACGTTTTCACATTTTTTTCAATGAATTCCAAGACGTATATTTATTGGTACCTGACGATATATGTCGATTTTTATGATCGGACTTAGAATTAAAAATTCAAAATATGAGGTACTTGGTACTTATAAATATTTTTTTTTGACTTTCTGAAAAGGTCTCAGTGACACTTATGAAGACCCTACGTTTTCACATTTTTTTCAATGAATTCCAAGTCGTATATTTATTGGTACCTGACGATATATGTCGATTTTTATGATCGGACTTAGAATTAAAAATTCAAAATATGAGGTACTTATACTTATAAATATTTTTTTTGACTTTCTGAAAAGGTCTCAGTGACACTTATGAAGACCCTACGTTTTCACATTTTTTTCAATGA